AAACATAACCGGTGGTGCTTCTTCGGTGATCAACTTCACCTCCAAAGTCTGCATCTATGTAGCCCTGTAATCTTAGATTTCCTTTTCCAAAACATAGACATTTTTTTATTGTTCCTCGTAGATATCTTAGAATCCACTTGACGGCTTCCCAGTGAGCCTTTCCTGGATTTGCCATAAACCTGCTCACAACTCCCACTGCATGGCCAATGTCTGGCCTTGTACAGACCATTGCGTACATCAGACTTCCAATGGCTGAAGCATACGGAACCTTAGCCATAATTTCTTCTTCTTCCTTTGTTTGAGGAGACTGATCCTTGGATAGACGAAAATGATCGGCCAAAGGTGTATTGACTGGTTTGACCTTGTCCATGTTAAATCTTTGCAAAACACGGTTGATGTACTCCTCTTGAGATAACTGCAAAACTCCTTTTTGCTTATCTCTCGTGATTTGCATTCCAAGAATCTTCTTTGTTGGTCCTAAGTCCTTCGTGTCAAATTCCTTTGACAACTGCATCTTTAAATTTCTGATATCCCTCATATTTGAACCTGCTACTAACATGTCATCAAAATAAAGTAGCAATATGATATAACTGGACTTATACCTCTTGAAGAAACAACAATGATCGGCATTGCACTTCTAGAAATCTTCCTTGTGCATGAAGCTTTCAAACTTCCTGTACCACTGTCTTGGAGCTTGTTTCAGACCGTACAAGCTCTTCTTCAATTTGCACACCATATCCTTCTTTCCTTCTAAAAATCCTTCAGGTTGGTGCATGTAGATCTCCTCATCTAAGTCTCCGTGGAGAAATGCAGTCTTCACATCTAATTGCTCTAGGTAGAGCTCTTCACTAGCCACAATACTTAACACTGTTCTGATAGTATTGAACTTTACGACTGGAGCAAAGATTTCAGTGTAGTCAACTCCTTCTTTCTGCTGAAATCCTTTGACAACTAGTCGGGCTTTGTATCTCTTGGAACCATCATGGTCTTCCTTCACCCGATACACCCATTTGTTGTGAAGTGCTTTCTTCCCCATGGGTAACTTGACTAGTTCCCATGTCTGATTGGAGATCAGAGACTTCATCTCTTCTTTCATGGCAAACTCCCACTTGTTAGCATCTGTGGTTTGACAAGCTTCTATATAATCTTCGGGCTCCCCTCCATCAGTCAGCAACATGTAGTCCATGTATCTCCTGTTTGGCACATGAGGTCTAAAGGACGTTCTCAATACAGGAGTTGGATTAAGAGGTTCTGGTTGCACATCACCTTTTTCAATTGATTCCTCTGACTGAGGACTTCTCACTATAGGATTTTCTAGGACATCTTCCACTTCTGCAAAAACTGGCCCACTCGATTCTGAATTGCTAATACTTGTTTTATGCATGTCCTTGTACAACACTCTTTCATTGAAGATTACATCTCTGCTGCGGATCATCTTTTTGTTTTCATCATCCCATATGCGGTAGCCATACTCATCTTCACCATAACCAATGAAAGTGCACTTCTTTGATTTTGGATCAAGTTTGTTTCTACCTTGATCACCGATATGGACATATGCTACACAATCGAAAACTCTAAGATGTGAGAGTTTTACCTCTTTCTCGTTCCATACCTCTTCCGGTATTCCGTGCTCCAATGGTACCGATGGACTTCGGCTGATCAAGTAAGCTGTTGTGTTAACCGCTTCGCCCGTAACCGCTTTGGTAAGCTCGACCGTACACGCAAGCTTCCGGCTCTTTCAGATCAACGTTCGGCTCATACGCTCAGCTACACCATTGTGTTGAGGCGTACTAGGCACCGGTCCTCTCCATTCTGATTCCGTGCTCATAGCAAAACTTCTTGAATCTGGTGTCTACATATTCACCACCATTGTCTGGATCTCGAGCTTTTTAATCTTCAATCCTCGTTTCATTTTCTACCATAGCTTTCCAAATCTTGAAAGCTTCAAATACTTCGACTTGTGTTTCGTAAAGTAAACCCATACCTTTCTCGAAGTGATCATCGATAAACGTCACGAAGTATTGCTTCCCACCAACGGATGGGACAGTCGTTGGACCCCAAACATCGAGTGGACAAGCTCAAGTCTCTCTTTCTTTGGAATTCTTCTATTTGTCCGAAAGTTAACTCTCTTCTCGCTTTCCAAGTATGCAGCCTTCACACATGTCAATTTCTACTCGATCGAAGACCTGGTAGTTTTCCTTTTGAGTGCATGATCTTCATCCCTTTCTCACTCATATGCCCAAGTCTTTGGTGCCATAGATTGGGATTTTCATTTTTTGCAACTGCAATCAAATGACATGCTCCTGCAGTCTTGTAAAAAGTACCACTCTTTTTGCCTCGAGCAATTGTCATCGCACCCTTTGAGATCTTCCAATCATCACCGTGGAAGATTGTTGTGTAACCTTTACTGGCTAACTAACTCACTGAGATTAAGTTCTTCGTCAGGTCGGGAATATGTCTGACATTTTTCAATTCCCATACAGACCCGTTCAACTTAATCTTTACTGTACCTTTACCTACAATCTCACACGATTGCTCATTACCAAGGTAAACTTTACCAAGATTTCCGGGAACATAATTCTCGAACAGTTGCTTTTGTGAGGTAACATGGAATGATGCTCCAGAGTCTAACACCCAAGACTCCTCCTTGCTTTCTAAAGAGCATATCAACACATCATCTTTCCCTGAGGTAGAGGCAACGTTTGCCTCGTCCTTCGCTTCTTGATTCTTTCGTGCATTCTTGCACTGATTTTTGTAATGTCCGGTCTTCCCACAATTCCAACACTCGATTTGCTTCGAGTTTTGGGAACTACGATGATTTCTGGACTTGGATCGTTTGCCCTTTGATTTTCCGCGTCCGCTTTCTTTGGTTGAACTTCTTCCTCTTGACTCTGTATGCAATACTGAAGAGGTTGATGATTCACCCGACTCCCTCCGCCGGATCTCTTCACTGAGAACCAAATTACGAATATCATCAAATTTTAACTTATTGCTTCCCGATGAGCTACTCACAGCTATGACAGTAGCATTCCAACTTTCTGGTAGAGAAGACAAAAGTATCAAAGCTCGTACTTCATCATCGAACTCGATCCCAACTGAACTCAACTGAGTTGTAACAATATTGAGTTCATTGATATGTTGCGCTGTTGAAGCGCCTTCAGACATCCATAGATTGAACAACCGCCTCATCAAATAAACTTTGTTTGAGGCTGATGGTTTCTCGTACATACTAGAAAGAGTATCCATAAGACCTGCTGTCGTCTTTTCTTTTGCAATGTTAAAAGCAACATTACGGGATAACGTCAGTCGAATGGCTCCAAGGGCCTTTCTGTCGAGAAGAGTCCATTCCTCCTCTTTCATACCTTCTGGTTTCTTTCCTGTGAGTGGTTCGAACATATCCTTCTGATATAGGTAATCCTCGATCTGCATCTTCCAGAACCCAAAGTCCGCACCATCGAACTTCTCGATTTTCACCTTTCCTTCATCTGCAGCCATCACTCCAACTCGAATCTGACTTTTCTGGATCGTTTCTGACAATTTCTGTGAACTACCGTGTTTCGGAACACGTCTGTAGATAATTTTGTAGCACCGACAAAATTTTTACTATTCACAAAATAGTAATTTCACTATTCATATGAATAGTGTCACCACAAAAATTGTAGAGTTAACAACCAGCTCTGATACCAGTTGTTAGGAAAAATACACAGAACTTTTCCATGTAGTCAGATCTATGAAAGTGAAATAAAAACGAAATAAAGACGGAATAATTGGACACACCAATTGATAACGGAGTTCGGCCAAAATTGCCTACGTCTCTGGACTACTGCAGATATTTTACTGGGAGAAAAGAAAATACACAGGTGTTTACAAAGCACTCTCAAAACACTCAACCCTCAACCCAATTACACCCAGAAGCTAGATTATTTTCTTTCTGCTTCTTGCTGGCTAACTCTTGTAATGGTTGCTTTGGAATTGGATGATAGAAATGAGTGAAGTGAAAGAACATTTTATAGCAAAAGGAATGGTTCTTGTGCATTTAAGGCTTTCCAATTTTTCTTGTCTCCAACCACTTGTCATCCAACCACTTGCCAACCAACCACTTGCCACCTTTTTTTGACTTTTCAAACACCAACAAATATTTATCGAACTGTGTGTCTTGTAAATACTTAAAAATACTGTTTTTGAAAATTGATTCAATTGAAAATCGGTATAAAAACTGATTTTTTATTTTTAAATAATTATATTTTAATTAAACTAAAAAATTTGGGGCAAAATTTGAAAAATTGACTCAATTTTTTCATGTCAAATTGACTTTAATAAAAAAAATTAAGATCAAATTTTTGAATATAACTTTTTATAAAAATCATAATCTACTTTAATTTTTTTAATTTCATGTTAATTAAATTAATTTTAAATAATAATTATTTTATTTTTATCTTAATTTAACAATTATTTATAATTTTTTTTATCTTCAAAAATATAAAACATAAATTTTATGATATTACAACATTTTTTAACAATTTATTGTTAATTTTGTTATATTAACTTTTTTAATAAAATTTTAAAAAATTATTTTCTCCTCATTTATCTTGATTTATTTATTTTTAAATTATTTAATAAATAATGAATTTTTTAAATATTTTATCATTCATAAAAATTACTTCAAACAATTGATTTGACTTATAATAAATATGTTCTAATAAATTTCATATTTATAACATTATATCTATTAAATTTTATATTTGTAACAAAAAAGTTTTACTATTTTGTTTTTTTTTAATTAAAAAAATGCTATTAAATATCATTTATTAAATTCAGTTAAATCCAAACTTTAAAACCCTAAATCATGTTTTCAACTGTTTTAAAAACATTGCTTAAAATTACGTGGAAAAACTGTTTTCAATGATCCACCATGATTCGAATGTATTTACTTGTTTAAACAACCTACCCTCCATTTACTTCCTACATCCTCCTCAGAATATGCTAACAGCAAGGAAACGATGAGTAGCACTGGCTTTAAGGTTGCCGTGTTGGGAAGTGGAAGTAAGCACTGCACTCACTTCTCCTGAAATCAAATAATCTTATTTATTTCTTTACATTTAGTATTTTTGGTTTTTAGTGAACTAATTTTGAATAATAATTGTGCTAGTAATAATAATGGAATTGTGACAGTTTCAGGAGCCGCGTGTGCTTCAACTCTTGCCAGAAATGGGATTTCTGTTACTCTATTTGAGTCAGCTAGAGGCCCTGGAGGACGCATGTCCCAAAGAAGGTTTTTTTTTACTTATTTATTGGGTTTCGTCCACCGTTTATTTTAATGGGGTTATGTGGAATTGTTGTTTATACCATTGGGAATAGCATTTTCATGATGCCCAATTGGTTCAGGGAGAATTTGTACATCATTATAAGTTACATTACAGAATTTTCTGTTATCTCGTGGAAAAAGTTTTTATTTTTCAAAGGAGGAAAAAAAAAAACAGATTTGAATTTTCTGATTGCTTTATGTATTTGTTTGCTCTGAATATGTGGAATTTGGAAGGTTTGTCAGGGCTCATGGTTTGCACTTTTTCAGTCTGGTAGCATGGAGCTTGATCTCTCTATGAAATCCGTGTTTCAATTTTCAGTCTTTTGTATTATTTTAAGCGACTATTATGCTTTATAGATTTTTCGTTTTAATTTTAGTTTGTTTTTAGAGATACTTTGCTTACTTCATTGGGTAATCCAAGAAGTGACACTGATATTTAGCGATGATGTTAGCTTAGTTTAAGATGTAGCACAGTTAATTTTTTTCCTCACTAATTATACTGGAATTTCCTTCTTAGTTTGGTGATAGTTTGAAACGGGATCCTAAATTTTCTCAATTTCTGGGAATCCAGGGAGAAAACTGAAGATGGGAAGGAGCTGCATTTTGACCATGGTGCTCCATTTTTCTCGGTTGGCAAGTCTGAAGTGTTAAGTCTGGTTCAAGAGTGGGAATCAAGGGGTTTTGTTGCTGAATGGAAAGAAAAGTTTGGCTTCTTTGATTTTCAGACCCATAAATTTAACAACATAGAGCAGGTTGACAAAGTTTATTCATATACTCACTTTGTTCTATGCAGTATATGTGGTGTTTATCGATTACAGTGTCATACTTTTAAATTTATGGTTAGTGGTGTCGATACTCAATTGGAATTTATTATTATCATAGTTTCTCTTTCTCTACGTTGTTGTCCACTCTCCATTATGTGTATATTTATCATTTGCATACACAGTATAGCCTTTAGAACATAAGTATGATGTTGCATTTGTTATCTATCCATTGGTCTGCATACTGCACAGATTTTCCTAAATCTGTATCCATATTTGGTTTTCAGGTATGTAACATGAAAATATTTTGCAATATAATGGATGAATTGAAAGCATTTCTAAACTGATTTTTTCCAACTGGTACATTTTGGCCCAGTTTGGATTAGCTAGTAGCTTATGGAAGTTTTTCAATTGTTCATAAAATCCTACTCTTAAGACTTCTGTAAAAAAGGAACTTTAAGCTCTGTTAAGTTAATAGGTGCGCACTGAAAATTTACATGAGAAAGCTTCTAAAAAAGTATAGATGTTAAAGAATAATGTTTACTATGCACATAAAAAAAATTGTGTTTCATGTTCTCATGACAAATGGAAACTTTTGACATAGGTATGGAGTTGATATATGAACATATATATCTTAACAGAACCTTAGAATTTAGATGTTAGAAGACTTATTTGCTGCAAAAATTCATCACATTTACTTCCATTCAAAATGTTATATTCTAATCCAAATTAAGTAGATGACTTGTCCAAAACCTTGTGTATCTGAGATTAATTTTACTTGAATTGTGGTATCTCTAACTGGAATATTTATTAGGAAGGATTAAGCAAGAGATACGTGGGTGTTCCAGGCATGAATTCTATATGCAAGGCATTATGCAATGAGAATGGTATGTACTCTATTTTTATTATTTAGTATTGTTGTTCAGAGTTGACCATGAAGCGAGTAGAGAGCTTATTCATTACTTCTCATGGTTAGGTGTGGAAAGCAAGTTTGGTTTGGGTATTGGAAGAATTGAATGGTTGCACGATGACAAAGTGTGGTCATTGACTGGGGTGGATGGGCAAAATCTTGGTCAGTTTAAGGGGCTTGTTGCATCAGACAAGAACATAGTTTCTCCCCGGATTACAGAAGTAACAGGACGGTTGCCACCACTGGGTATGAGTATGATATTTTTCTTTTCTTGACTCTCTTTGACTCATTCATTTTATCTTTTGAGGAGACAATGTTGGGCTCTATTGATAGGTGTGGATAACCATCTAGCTATATTTGCTATTAAAGAATTAGGGAAGAAACCTTGCAAAAAAGAATAAAAGTGATCAGAGAAGATTAACTGGTGTCTGTCTCCTTCAAGTTGTTAAACACAACTAGTACCAGGAGGATGATCATGGTGTAAGATGAATTGTTTTAACCTTATGCTAGAAAGCAGATGCAATTGAATAGTGTTTCTCTCATTTCGTCAGTTTTTGCAATAATGTAGAAAGCTGAGAGGGATTAACAATTTCTTGCCAGATTGTGTTTCTTGTACAATTGACCTACTAAAAATTCCTTTGCTTATACCAATATAGATGAAGTGTGTTGATTTAAACCAAACTCAACATTGCATAGTCAATAAATAAATGATTGATACATTCAATGGAATATATATTGACTATGTTTTACACTCATGCAAGGGATGCAGATATAAAATTAGTGCCAGAGCTGTCAGAAAAGCTGCTCAACCTTCCTGTGAAGCCATGTTTCGTTGTAATGCTGGCATTTGCAGAGCCTCTATCATCAGTATGATACAGCCATACAACTCCCAAGCTATTATTGAGTTCTCTAAGTTCACAAATATATAAATTGGATATGGCTCATTTGGTTTTGAATTCGTTTCATCTTGGTTTTGGCAAGATGGTTCTTTATTTCCTTTTCAGTTTATAGTAACTTGATGACTTCTTCTCCGTATGTAAAAAAGTTATGTTTTGGAAATCTATTATATAAAACAACTGAAAAATGAGTTTGGAAAGGTTAATGTGGTAATTTTTGTAACCAACATATTCAAAAGTATAATGCAGACCAACTATCATGAAAAACAACTTGAGGTGGTGGTATAATCTAGTTGCATTAAGGCTTTGCTGAGCATTCTAATCTTCCGTTTATTACCATTTTCTGTGACATATAGTTGAGGATCTTAGTGTACATAATTTATCTTATGATTCAGATTCCAGTCAAAGCCTTTTCTTTTGAAAATTCTCAAGTTTTAAGTCGGGCTTATTGTGATAGCAGCAAGCCTAGCCGTTCTACTGCGAGGTATTTGATGTTGCATTAGTGTTGTTACAATATTCTTGTGACTACAGTTTCCATTGTTAATGGAGTGGTAACTGGTATCTCTACAGTGAAAGATGGATTCTTCATTCTACACCAGAATACGCAGAGGAAATAATTGCTCAAACTGGACTCAAGAAGCTCTCAGACATTACACTCAACAAAGTGGCTGAACAGCTTTTGCAAGAATTTCAAAGCACAGGGCTTATCACATCTCAACCATTTTTCAAGAAAGCCCATAGATGGTAAGTAACTAAGAGCTAATGTATATACAAGGTCTGAGTTGACTGCTATTTCTCATGCCATCTAGCATCACACATAGTTTTTAGTGCCTTGAAACAACTCTATCTTGAATTATAGAGCATTACTAGAGGGTAGCATTAGATGGTGTATTATGATTCATTTGCACTTGTTATCCATTGAGTAATAACAATAACATGGCACAATTTCCATTCTATATTTATGATGAGAAAGGTTTTGTTTTTATTTTGCAATGTTGATTGCTTTTGCAGGGGAAGTGCATTTCCAGCTGCTAGTATTGCCCCAGAGGAAAAATGCCTTTGGGACAGAAACAAGAGACTAGCCATCTGTGGAGACTTCTGTGTCAGTCCTAATGTTGAAGGTGCCATAGATAGTGGCTTGGCAGCTGCATTAAAGCTTAGAGATAGTGTCAGCTCATTGTAGTCGAACCTTTACTCTCTCAACATTGATGTCTCCTTCCGTGGGTCCATGTTTTCTGGGAAAATTCATGTTCAAAACTTTTTTAGACATCACCTTATTAGTAAACATAATAAGGTAAGCATTTGTTATGATGGCCAAATCAACTGTAATTGTGAATTTGTGACCATATTATATCATTTTAATTAAATAAAACACATTTGAGAAAGGACTATGGTTTGGTCCAATGATTCTCTTTCAAACGTTTTGTTGAAAAAAAAAAAAGAAATTGTTTCAAAATATATGTCATTCTCAAAATTTAAGATTGTATTAATTATAGTTTTTAAAAGTAATTTTTTATGAAAAGAATATTAAGATAATAAAAATATTAATAAATTTATTAAAAATAATTAAAATTAATATTTATCATAACCTTAAGCTTTATATAAATGCAATCATAATTTTTTTTCTACTTTATAGAACAATATTAGCAGGAGTTAAACCTGGAAGTTAAATTTAACAAAAAAATTATAATACTAAATTATTAAAGTCATTAAGAAATAAATAGTTTCTTTTAAATGGATAATATTTTTCATCAAGCACCAGTATATTTTTTTAACAAAAATTAAAATATCAATATAAATAGTGAAAATTTACGCTAATACTATGATGTATTAATAAATTATTTTTTAATATGGTGCATCGTATTGACAGTATAAACTTACAAATTAAACTTCATATTAATAGCTCAGAAAATAAATAAATTGTTTCTAAAATAACTCTAAAAAAGTTGTTTTTTAATTTACTTGTACAATAAGTAATTTATAATAAAAAAATCAAGATGAAAACTATTTTTCGTAAATTTGTTTTTTTACATCTTAAAACACACCTATGTCGTGAAATCTCTCTTTTTTTTCCACCAGAAAAAAAAAATCTTTGATTTTTTTTGCTCAGAAGGAATATCCATGATTTGAAGATTTTATATTTTATTTTTTATATTTTATGACGATGAACAACAGGTGAAAAATTGATCTCATTCAGATAATGTTCACATTATCATATCCCTCTCTCTGCCACAAATGCCACGCCACGTGTCACCAAAACCAATCACAAATCCTTGGCCACTATTGTTTTGGTTTTATTATTATCTTCAGTGGCACTTGTTTTGTTTCCCACAATACCAAAGAAGAAGCATTTGCACTTGCAGCAACAATTAGTCTCAGTTGAAATGGCCTCTTCAGTGATGGCATCTGTAGCCCTTAAACCTGCCCCTTTCACTGTTGAGAAGTCCTCAGTGAGAGGACTGCCCTCCCTTTCAAGGAACTCCTCTTCATTCAGAGTTGTGGCCAGTGGTGGCAAGAAGATCAAGACTGACAAGCCTTTTGGTTTGAACTCATACATGCACTTGTTAAACATAATACACACACATGCACCCTTTTTCACTTGTTAATGTGATGCTTTTTGGGTGAATGTTTGCAGGAATTAATGGTGGTATGAACTTGAGGGATGGACTCGATGCATCAGGAAGGAAAGGAAAGGTTTGTGCCTTTGTGGGTCTAGCCGTCTTGGATTAACATTGTTGTTGTGACTAAAGTATACATAAAATAAACTGTTGTTTTGAACAGAAAATTAACTGAAACTCAAGTATATGCATGATTTGTTATGTAAGGGTATGATTGATAAGGAAATTATCTGATGATACACTCAAGTATGTTCCTGATTTGTCATGCATGTTATGTGCTTGATAGAAAATCAACTGATATTTCAATATGTTCATGATTTGTTATGTATTTGTATGATATTGATGATTCTTTTAATCAATGACTAAAATTGTTTACTTCATCGTTTAACTGTTGAAGTTTTTGAAATTGTTAGTTTATGGCCTAAGTTTAGAGTTAGAGTCTCTCTGAATGAGGAATCTAAAGTTCATTCCTTATCATTTCTATTATTTTCTGTATCATTCTTCTCACTTCCAAACATCAAATCAGGGAAAGGGTGTATACCAATTTGTTGACAAATACGGTGCTAATGTTGATGGATACAGGTAATAGTGAGATCTATATTGTTTTAAGTTCAGGATATTGAAAACATGAACTATTTTCATTCATTTGTGTGATTAATTTGCTCATTCAAATTGCATTTGCCTGTGCAGTCCTATCTTTGACACCAAGGACTGGTCTCCAACTGGTGATGTCTACACTGGAGGTAAGAAACAAATCATTTTGGGTAACTTAATGCCTTAAATTTGACATTCAAGAAAAAAAAAATGCCTTAATGGCTTCAGTTCAAATTATTTGAATAGAAAAATCTGTCTTGAAAGAGAAATTTTACTAGTTTCTGACATAGATTAAATCATTATTTTTATATATACATGTAGATACTATAAATTATGAAAAATAGTACCCTTACTCTTTAGTTGCTGAGTTTATAGAATCCTTGTGCTTAAAGGAGATATTTCCCTATTAATTTGTTTCAACATCATTAGAGTAAATTTTTCTAATGAATAGATGATAATAATAAAAATTGAAAGTAAAAGATATTTTGTTTATGTTTATATAATGCAGGTACGACTGGGTTGGCTATCTGGGCTGTTACTCTACTTGGTCTGCTAGCTGGTGGTGTACTTCTTGTCTACAACACAAGTGCTTTGGCACAATAGACTTTGCAGATCCATGTTTATGCTACAAACCAACTTAGTCCATGTAACTATCTAAAAAACAAGAATTCTTCATCAAGTACTTTGTGGATATGTGATGTTCCTTCTGTTCTATAATCATGCTTGCATTTCATCAGCGTCTCCAATTAGTCTTTTTCACTATAATTTTGTGAGTGCATTAGAATACCTCTTTTTTGAAATGAATGTTTGTGATATGTAGTACCTAAAACTTATATTCCCTACCATTATTGATTCTTGGGGAAATCACGTTCACTTGGTTTGTTTTTTATGTTTCCAACCATTATTTAGCCTCAATTCTCTTTTGCAACCTTACCCTTCTCATTGCTTTGAGTTGGTCACTGAAAATGTTGCAATTGGAGTTTCTTCGGAGGTTCGCTTATAAAACCAAAATAAATTAATTATCAACTTATTTATTTGTTTATTTCTACTTTATCTCCTATTATTATTTATTTTGTTTCATTTATTCTATTAATAAAATCAAGTAGTAAAAGATATCGTTAATTTTACAAACTATTATGTATTGGTTATAAATTATAGTTAAATTTTCAAATAGTTCATATTTACTTTTTGATAAATATATTGTTAGTTGGATAAAAAATATCACATTGTTACAAGCTTTAAAAATTAAGAAAATTGATTAAGCCTATTATTTATAGTGGAATAGAATGAAATAAATAAATAATTATAGAGATAATTAAGCGTAATTAATAATTGGTTTCAGCCATTATTTTAATGGAATAGGGGTGGCTCTTGGTTTCATTTCAATCAATAAACTTGATACTTCAGAATTCAATGCCAAAAGTACCCATTCACATTCTATTAGACTGTTTTCGCTTGATTTAAGACTAATCATCAGCTATTATGCTTCTTAAAACTCTACATGAGGAATTAGAAAGAAATCGACTTCTGACAACATAAATTACTCTACAGATGTTGGATAAAATGAGTTAAAGTAATTGCCTCACTCCAACAAGCAAGTTACCTAAAAAGATCTCAAAAAACTCCTCAGTAAGTGCTAGGGCGAATGAGTTTCGTGGTGTTTATAGAGATTATTGAACAGAAATGAAATGGATGAGAAGCATATGAGTGAGTGGTAAGTTATGGGAATCAAAACCTAGAGTTTAAAATCAAATTTATATGGGAATAATGAACTTGGATAACATCTATACAAGCTGCCGTACAACATGCATTAGGATATAATTAGTTCTCCAATATCTCTGCGCTTTCGTATTATGATGACATAATCACTGCAAAATCTTACAAGGGCTCCTAATGCTGCAACTATGCTACGGTGTTTCAATGGGCAAGCTACAGTGACTTCCTAATGTTACTTCACTTCCTACTGCTGCAGTTATCTCCTTTGCCTGCCACGATGAACAATTGTAAGCATGCAATTACTACTAATCAACAAGTAAAGATGAAGCATAGTGGGTGCATACAAGAATAAGGCACGATCTTCACCAATCGTATTTTGCCCTTCCATTTGCCGCTTCACCAAACTGTTAAAAAGTTACAAATCTACTTCAGTTCAAAACCGGGAAGCACACGGCAATGTGTCATATAACAGGAAGTAAAGTATCAAAAACACACTCTAGCAGGTAGAATGGAAATGCAATTTTCGTTTGCAGAGTGATCCATCCCAAAAACAGTTTAAGGAAAATAACATTAACTCTCTGCACTCATCAAATATAAACAAAAAAATATTATATTTGACACAATTAAAGTAAATTTCAATTCAAACCTTTATCTTTAAACTTAAACATCATTCTAAATAAATATAATTTGGGAATAATTCTTAAAAATGTTAAATAAACTTATATACCATTCTCAATCAGTATATGAATAGTTAATTTTTCTTGTAATTGAGTCCAGAAATAATACTATTTACTACAGATATTTAAATATACATATACTAATAACTAACAATTAATTTTTAGGATTCAGTTTCCTCTTTCACATCGCTGACAAAGAAACCACTTTGAAAAAGATATATATATATATATATATATATATATATATATATATATATATATATATATAGGGATATATCAATGAAAATTCTCTTCTTCCATAATCTCATAATGTAATCTATATTTCATGTTTTATTTCTACATAATGACGTCTGCAATTTTAACGTTTTCAAAACTCCGATGATCTTTAATCAACTATAACTATGCTATGCTATAATGAACTAGGCTAATTACAAATGCAAATCTATCAAATTTACTTACAGGTGATTCTTTCGTGATCGAACAATCATTGAAGCATTATGTATATAAGAGATGTTATTAGCAGTACGTATATAAAAAATGCAGTATGTACATGTCAGAAGTCATAAATCAATGGAAAGACCAGACAGTAAATATCATAAACGCATCTAGGATAGTGGCAGACAGTTTAATTGTGAAATCAAGATGTAGAAACTACGTTCAGCCATACGAATATCTTAAGATATGTAACATGACACATCAACCTGTCACCCAAACTGACTTAAATTATTCTGATGCCCTGTGAATTTACCTAACAAATTAGTCACTGTTCCTTAACAGAATAAACTGACACAAGATTACATGCTCCCAAAATCCTTAACAATTGGCATCTTATTAGATCTTTCTGATATGCATATTAAATAAAATAAGCAAATCAATGTCCATGGTAAATCTACCGGTCAAATCATGTTCGAGGGGTCCAGAAGGCTACCTTTTCATTCTCTGCCGCTATCTTCATCACCACCATCAGCTTCCTTAACATCAACAGTAAAACCATACTCCTGATCACAACCCAGGTATGAATCACACATGAAATAAAGCGCATAGGATTTCCTTCCAGTATCAGCAGGAGCTGCAAACTCCAGTTTGGCTTTTAATTTTCTCTGCAGGGAAACCCTTTTAATGGCAAGCAACAGATTGGTTTTAGTATCACCAACAACAAGCCACCATCCTTCCTCCTTGGCTTTTGGATACCTGGGAGCATCGACAGGTCCTATTTCTGTTTTTCCCTCAAGATCCCGTTCAAGAGTAACCAGTATAGTGACATCCTCTCCAGCTCGAACATTGTCACTGTCTAGCACCTCATATGACAAATCGATATTAGGGAACCGGTTGCAAAATCGAGCAATATCCAACAACTGTGAATCCGACATGCCCAACAATTCCTGTCTCTCATCATCCTCCATCTCTAATAAATCAAACACAGTTTCAATACTCTTCCCTGGGTTCTCCTGGCACTTTTTAGCCAGGTCCTTTGTGAAATGAGGAAGCTGTAGTAGCATGGAGTCACGTTCCCACATTCCCTGTGTCACCATTTGACTGACTTCCATAGTAAGAAGAGCTAGACTCAGCCAGCCGTTGCTTGATATAACATCTACCATTGCCTGAAGCAGTCTATTTGCAGAAAGGAGCACCTCCTTCTGGTCCAATGCAAGGTTCCCACCTACAAATTGCCTAGAGAAATGGGCCTGAAGCAAGGCATTAGCTTTAACATGCGGATCTGTAACCTTGGGGTTTTCAAATGAAAACCTCTGGTGATTAATCAACTTACGAACAACCTCTTCCTCTCCAGGTCGAATTGGAAGCTGAGCATACTCTGAAGCTGAAGACAAAACCTCCAACAAACCCTTCATCTTTGTTTTGGAAGTCACAGATGATGAAAACCTTTCAATTGTAGTGTAACTGATGTAATAATAAGATGCTATCATTCCAAGATTCAGAGGAGAAAGGTCCATATCCTCCTCAATAGTAATGCACTTGCTCGCTTCTAAATCACTCAATGTATTTTCCACCATCTCTGAGAGGTGATCAGAAAGATGTCTGTGACTAACTCCTTGTAAATTGTAATAGTTGGGATTCTGTGTGAGCCGCCTGTACATGAATGTCCATGTGAGATAATCTACAGCATCTTGTTTATTTTCAATAATTCCAGCAACAATTTCAGCATTCAGGTTATCATGCAAAAAGTGATGAAGATGGCTTTCAACAGGGAATGCTTCATATAAAAACTTCTTGTAGTACTCCTTGCGGGGAGCATGGCACAATATGACACATTTTCCAGAATTGTCTACCAAAGGACGGCTGGCATGACCCATCATCTGCAGAAGATCTGTAACAGGGTAATCTGTCTGTGCATTCTCCCGGCCATCATAATACTGTGTGCCCATCACAACTACCAAATGAGCTGACAATGTCACTCCCCAACACATGGAACTATTTAAAACACAGACTTGAATCCAGCCTGCATCAAATAGCTGTGTCACGATGTCATGATCAAGACTTTTCAAGCCCTCATGTAGGTATCCCACTCCTTCACGCAAAGTAACTTTCAGCATTTCATCACTAATCTTGTCAAGGAAAGGTTCAAGCTCTTCTGGGGACCGCAACAAAAATGGCTTCTCTCCACTGTCTGCACCTGAGTATGTAATCAGGTCTACAGCTGTCAATCGAACATGCTTTCTTGTAGGTACAAATACAAGAGCAGGTTTCCTACTCTTGGCATGTTGAACAATTGCAGTGTATGTTGGTTTGGTCATGGCCTGCATCCTTGCCTCAAAATTAGTAATATCTATACCTTGAATGTGAATTTCCAAAGGCACTGGACGAACACCAGGGGGGAAATTGAAAAGACCATGGGAGGTTGCTCCGATCCATTCTCCAAGATCTTTTGCATTTGCAAGTGAGGTAGACAAAGCCACAATGCGAATCTTGTTATCAACCTGACTAGCAATATATCTCATCCTGGAAACAACGACCTCTAAAACAGGACCTCCTTGACCTCCAATCAAGTGGAGCTCATCAATGATGAAAAGACTAACTTGTTGAACATGTTTCCTCTGTTTCCAGCGGCGGGATAATGCATCCCATTTCTCAGGAGTGCTAATAATAATCTGACCTTTCTCAAGCAGTTTCAAGTCAGTTGCAGTTTCTCCAGTCAATTCAACCACCCTCAGTTTTAGACCACCTCCAAATTTCCTCTCCCAATCATGATAC